GATGCAAAGAAATGGCTGAAATGGATTGATCAACTGATGAGTAATCTACGCATGCTGGAAGAATGAACTAAATTCAAGACATTAATTATATTAGATTTGGATTTTTTAAAATGATTTTAAAGTGATAATCTGGAAAGGAAAAATTCAAGGGGTATGAATACTTTTGCAAGGCACTGTAAAATCAGTGTGATGCGTCTTTAAACTTAATGTTTTAAAAATGGCGCGGACAACTATGGCTGTCTTGTGTACTTGTGCTCTCTTGTGTTTGTTGTTTTTCTTTGTTTTCTCTGTCTTTTGCAATCGATTCTAGATTACTTTCACGAGAGAAGAACTGTTAAAAATCGGACAACTCACACCAAACCCCCTTTCTCCGACTTTCTTGAACAAAGAATGCTGTGTGGACATTCTGATCGGCAGTGCAGCTGCAATCTATGGGACCTGGAGAAGGTGTCGACGAGGCAAAGGAGCAGGCACCTTAGTCAGGCTATGCCGGAGAGGGACCCGGACCCCACTCCCGTCCATCCACTTGGCAAATGTGCACTCCTTAGTCAACAAGATGGATGAACTCCTCGTCAACACGACCAACTCTGACTTCACACGCTCCGCTGCTTTATGCTTCACAGAGACTTGGCTCAGTGACTCCATTGCAGACAGCGTAATCCAAGTACCGCACTTCCAGGCGCACAGAACGGATCGTGTAACGGAGCTGTTCAGGAAAATGAGAGGAGGATTATGTGTCTACATAAATGAAAGTTGGTGCACATTTGTCACGGTGCTACAGGAGGACATGTAACATGGATTTAGAGAATCTTTATCATCTACAAACCTTTTTATTTTCCCCAAGAATTTAACTCTTTCATTCTAATTGGAGTGCACATAAGGCCGCAGGCCCACGGTAGCGCACTACAGCTCCTGGCCAGACTGATAACTAGCGTGGAGCTAAAACATCCTGACTCTCGACTCATTGTTCTAGGGGACTTTAACAGAGCAAATCTCACCCAAGAACTGCCCAAATACAGACAGCACGTCACCTGTCCCACCAGGGACAAAATCACATTGGACAACAATAAAAGATGCCTATCGCTCTGTCCCCCGCGCAGCCCTCGGTCTCTCAGATCACTGCATGGTCCACCTTATTCCAACCTACAGGCAGAAATGTAAAGCTGCTAAGCCTGTGGTCAAAACAGTACAGGCCTGCTTTGACTGCACATATTGGAGTGTATTTGAGGCTGCAGCTACAGACCTGGACAAACTAACTGATGCTGTGACATCTTATATCAGCTTCTGTGAGGATGTGTGTGTGCCCACCAAGTCCTTCTGTACATACAACTACAACAAGCCCTGGTTCACAGTAAGACTCAAGCAGCTTCATCGTGCCAAAGAGGAGGCTTACAGAAGTGGGGACAGGACTCTGTACAGCCAGGCGAGGAACACACTGACAAGGGAGATCAGAGCAGCAAAGAGGAGCTACTCTGAAAAGCTGAAGGCCTAGGTTTCAGCCAACGACCCCTTGTCTGTGTGGAGAAGCCTGAAAATCATCACTGGCTACAGGAAACCACCTCCCCCGCTGAGAAAATACTGCTGTTTTCACTCTACACCAATGACTGCATCTCGAAGGACCCCTCTGTTAAGCTCCTAAAGTTTGCTGATGACACAACAGTCATTGGTCTCATCCAAAATGGTGACGAGTCAGCCTACAGATGGGAGGTTGAGCAGCTGGTCCTGTGGTGTAGCCACAACAACCTGGAGCTGAACACGCTCA